CTTGGGTAGACGGCAACTTGTAACAGTAAACTGCAGCACCTGAGTCAGCGACTGAACCTCAACATGCGGCACTCTGTCGACCACCTGTTTAGTTGATACACAAGGCGGACTGCAGAGCGGATTGTACCTGACGACGATGGACAGAAAAGAACTAGAATGCCATCTTCTCTCCACACGTTTGCAGGTTCAGCACACAACTTCTCTGCTCCAGTATTTGTCCGCTACACACTTGTACATGTGCAGGTAAACACGGCATGTCATGTACTTCCGATTTTCCGCAGAATTTCGTTAAATCGAGCACACACTACATTACTTTACGTTTTGGAGTTATTTTTCCAAGATTCGTTTAAAATCATGTGCAATATAGAGTAATTTGTGTTTTGCTTTGATGCTGAACCACGTTTCCAAAGAAATCATAGTGATCGGTACTGAAGTAATTGTCAAAACCTGGTTAAAACCTCGTTAAAACTTGTACGAACTGGATGCAAGTAACAGAATAACAAGCTAAATTACACATGTTGCTTCCCTTGATTTCACAGGTGAGTGACGGTTGCAAATAATTTAAAGAAACCCCAGAAATGATTCGGATAATTTACGTTAGATGAAATCATTGAGAACACGCCAGGTACTGTATCATGTCTGAGAATATATAGGAATATAACATCGTACGCGTGTACGTTTTCTGGCAGTTTTACCAGCTAGGATATAATTGTCATAAATGTGGCAGTTACGAAAAATATCCAGGGAGTTTCAGTGCATCCGCTCAACTATAATGTTTTGGAGCAGGCAAAGGACACCTTTCCAGTGATGGGACCAAGAGTTAGTGTTTTTCGTTCGAATGTTCATGTAATCCTTGAATGTGACGCGGTTCAACAACTTATTCATTGTTATCTGGTAGGACTAGTGTTACAATGTATGTATGTTGAGAGAGGAAATAGCCAGCATTGTCATTGTCGTAAATCTGTTCCCTTCTAGGCACTAGCTAGACCACGTAATTCATATTTGCTACGTAATGTATAGGTACTGATATTCTGATGTTCACGTGAAATACAGTATGTTGTTGAAGAATTTCGTTCAGAAAAGGCGTGTGTAACTGCTACCTCCGCTGACTGTCTGTAACCTGTGCCCTGCCACCCGACCTGTCCTAGCCGTGCGACGCAGGGGACCTCACAGCGATAACCACAACAAACAAACCATTGAGAACCGGCGTCCGGCGATGATAAATCTTTATTCCATCAAATGGCAGAAGAAAGGGGGAGAAAGAACGCTGCTAAGTGTACAAAGACTCGGTGTGACTACGGGGCAGGGGTGGTACACAGTACGTTGTCGTGTTCGGAAGTGTGGACGCTTGTTTCTACGGGCTATATCTGTACAGTACACGTCACAGTTCCAACCGAAACAACAACTGGCTTCTCCCTAAACCTACATACACTACAGGTATGATACGTGTCAAACGACTACACTACCACATGCTGAATAAAGAACAAAAAGATACATAATAATATATAATATAAAGTGAACGGATAAAATCTCCTTAATCATAGTTTGAAATTACACTTTAAGGTGAAAATATATACTCCAATATGCATAGCAAGAAAGGACTTCATCTCATCATCCAATAATTATTCTCTCAACAATACATACATAATGAGGTTCTCTGGATGTCAGCTCGCGAAAAGAGTCGGTCTCGGTGCAAAACTATCCTTACAAGAGACAAACGGTAAGTACAAAGGAGCTGGTGTAAACATAGCACTCGATTCGTCGCGATGGTCTTACAGTACCTCCTAGCTACAAGCCGCTCGGTGCTTGATTGTACGAAGATATGATCGACAGCACTTCTACTAGCCACAAAATCTCGCCTAAACTATCTTTGGTTTGACCAAAGTAAACCGTACATTGCACCACATCTGGGCCCGGTTTCAAACACACGAAAATATAAAGGATACGAGAACAGGTAACGTTATACAAAACGTAGCCAGTGTGCACGCTTGCCATTGCACGCCGTCGAGACGAAGATGCTACCACTGAAGAAAGGTTTTCTGTCTAACATTTCTAGGACTACGTTCGTGTCTTCCCCAAAACTCGGAGCTTCGTCAAAGCCAGAAGTTCGTAGAAGTTGAAAAGAAAAGTATCATTGCGTCGCCAACCTTGTCTGTTTTACTGATTTGTCAAAATAGATGGGTAAAATGATTGTGCTTGTTGGTTGTGACTTTAAACATGGAAAGTATAATAACAGTTAAAAGATTTCTCTATAGTCTAAACTTGTTAATGTGTCTTTTTCCTCACACAGGTGGAAGTATACTTTTTTGTCCAGAAGTGTGATCTTGTTTCTCCGTACAAAAGATAGCTCGAACTTCATGCGCTGACGATGCACAGACACACGGAGGACACAAACATGTTCGATTTGTCGGTAGTTTTTCTTTTCTCTCTCTCTTGTCCAGCTAGAGGGGAATGATAAGTCTCTTCCTCCTTCTGTCCACACAACAGCTCCCTTTGGTCCGTATCAACAGCGGTTTCTCTGGAACTGGAAGTGTCACGAGGAAGGAACGCACGACGGCAACGTTACTGCATGCGTCATGGCGCTGGTCATGAGGGGGGATGAGGACGGGGGGAGAGGGGGGTTGCTGAGGGTGGAGGCCGCCACTCCGGTGGGGGGAAGGGTGAGTTGGTGGGGAGGGGGGCCTACCGTGAGCGCGGACACCTCTCCCATGACCCCCCCTCCGTCGTCGCTCCCGCCCTGCCCGCCGTGCTGAAGCTCCTTCCGTTTGGCCATCTTGCGCTGCTTGGCTCGCCTGTTCTGGAACCAGATCTTGACCTGGCGCTCCGACAGGCCCAGTTCGTTGGCCAGCTGAACCTTCCTCTTGATGGTGATGTACTTGTTGGAGTAGAACTCCTTCTCCAGCTCCAGGCGCTGATGGTCGGAATAAACCACACGGTACTTGTCCTTCGTCCTCGTCTTACCTGGAGAGGGACAAGCAGAAATATTAGTGATTTGTACATTTTAATGCCTTTCAGGTGATATCAAATCCATGAAATACACAAAGGAACATTGTTGAACTACTTGTAGAAGCTTAATGTATTTGCCCCTGTTAGTTGAAGTTGAAGGTGACATGCATAAATATTTGGAAACAAAGGCTAAGGATGGGGATTTGTTGTGCCATAATCTAAGTGATGTTAGTATAACCTAACCTAACTTGTACTGCTACTTCCCTTCAAGTCTCATGCCGAAAAACAATCAAACAAAAAAGGTTTTGCCTTGTTCACCATTGCATAGTTTTTCAATGGTGAGTTTGAGAAAAAGAACCACATAAGTTCCCGGATGTGTGCGAGCGCGAAGCATGCTGGGAGGTGAGGGGAAGGGATGGCGGGATGTGTGGACATGATGTGGATATTTCATCACAAGTATAACGTTTTAATAGGTAAAAATACTCGCCATCAGGGCCAAGAATCTCACATCTGCCGCCATCCTTTCTGCCCTGGGGCGGCATGCCTCGCACGGACAGCACTGGGGAGGGATAAACAGTCAGGTCAGAGGTCACAGCCAAGGCCACACATCGAACGTGCATGATGGGGACTTTCGTCGCACAAGAGAAGAGCATCATAGCATAAAACAGCATACAGAAATATTTTCCATTGCCCTTGCCAACAACTATCGGGTTCGGCCGTCGTAAGAACTGCTTTGGAAGCTATACAGACGTTTAAAGTTGCAGCAGTGTACATACGATTCTGTACTCTCGGAATTGAACATTTTCGTCTTTGCAAAAATTCGCATACCAATGCAAGTGTAGTTTATTTTTCACCCTACATCGGGAAGTGCAATGTACATGTATGCTCCATAAATTTACGAAGTTTTAGAAGAGTCCTGATGGAGTATTCAAGATAGACGCAAGAGAAGTAAGCAGGTTTCGTTAAGTGGGGATAGCTGGTTTTGCGCCCTACTGTTGGCTTTATCTTCTTCAGTTACGACCTGACAATACTTGGAGAATATTGCTGCCACTCAACCTTTGTGAAAGTAAACAATTCTAATTATCATGGCACTCCTTGTCGTTAGTTTAAAGACTACAGGGACCAGTGATTGACAGCGGGTATCCGTTACAGGTAGGGGCAGTAACAGGTGTACACAGTACAGCTGTGTGCATTACTGCAGGTGAATCCATGCTAGACAGGTGTTCAGGTGAACCAATAATTGACAGGTATGTACAGGTGAACCCATAATTGACAGGTATGTACAGGTGAAGCCATGCTTGACAGGTGCGTACAGGTGAACTGGCGTGACCCCTATTTTGGGTGTGGTGCCCTCACAGAAGGCTCGTTTCCGGCCAGAGACAGCCTCATGACGTAATGAGGATGGATGAAGAAGGATGCCCCCCTCCCCAGGCGGCTGTCACCAAATGTGGAAACAAATGTGCCGACCGCGTTTTCACCTGACAGAACCACCATTTTTCAAACATCACAGCCAGGTTTGTGACTAAATCTATTCAGATAACTTGTCAGCGGTAGTTTTCCTGCTAGCTTGAGGTCTATACCACCCACACGGTTGAACTGGAGTAAATAGTCCCAGTAATTACAGGTTTGTTGGACATCAGGAGACTATAAATCAACGGGGAAGGTTTCTTCTTCCGGTGGTAAAAATAGCCGCCGTGTGCTGCTTCCTACAGGTAATACTGCTTCACTGGGCGTGTGGACGTCTCTTCTACCGACTGTAGTAGTATCAACATGCAATATTATAATAGAGTCTGTACCGCGGCCCAAAAACAGTTACTCATGCAACTTTTTTTTTTTACCTGGATGTCTAATCTTTACCTAAGTATAGAGACTGTAGTTTCAGTTATTCGACCTGAAAGTTAGTTACTCTTCATACAAATAAATCGACTACAATACTGTTTGTATGAAATTACATGTACCAGTCTTTTCACACATTGGTACTAAGTGATAGAATGTCCTTGCTGGTACGTTAGTAGAGATTTGACAGTATGGTAATTCGACAGCGAAACGTACTTCAAATTCCTACACTTCAGTACCAACGCTACTGCTCTATGTTTACTTTTACATTGTAATCCCCCAAGGACCCCCCTCCCCTAGTGCCTGTCGTTTCCAGAACAGTCGGTAGAGGGAGCAGGTGCGCGTGGGGGTCGCAGTTTGTACACGACCAGACCGGGTTGTTTGCACTTGAGCCATAAACCAATCTTGTCGGAGTTATTTACGACATGGGCAAAAACTGACAAGGTACAATTTGTGTTATCAAGTTGTACGGGGTGGGGAACGATTCGGGTCAAAATGCAGCCGATTCAGATTACTTTCTGTCGCCCGTTCAGTAATAGTAATTATCTACATCAAAACCAAACGTTACCCTAAATGTATGATGAAGCTCCAAGACTAAAAGGCCAATGAGACGTTATGGATTAACGTACAGTTTGTTTGGGACTCATTTTCTCACAAAAACGGGAAAAGTGAACTATGGAAACACCCAGTGAAGCATTGCAATTAGTTATCCCTCTCTTCATCAAAACGTTCTAGATTTTTTTACAATTATGAAGCACCATATCGTCAAAAAAGTCACCGGCCTTATGAACCACCTTATGAACCAAATATTAATAATCATTGAGAAGAAATTCGATCTATTATATACTATTACAAGTGCCGCCGAAAAGTATGGGTGGCTCTAGTAGCGAATGTTTGTAATTACCGACTCTAGAATTGAGTACACTGAGAACGCTTCATGTGTGGGCTACTCAGAAGAACGTGCAAATACTTGTAGAACCGTAAACGTCAGGACGTGATCATATTTATCCCTTCTCTCAGATCTCTGGCGGGATTCCAGCCTATACGAGCGCGCAGGTCACAGAAGTGGGCGACAATCGGCAATAAAAATCGGCCGGAGGTCGCGCGGGGTAAAACCGCTCGGCCCCGGCGATGTTTCCCTCCGACGCAAAGTGGACAACTTCATTTATTTAAGTTCCTATTTGTGTAGAGCCTTGAACACTGATGATGAACCAAAGTGCTTTTCCGTGTACATTTCGTACAAAAGCAGACGTGGCTCTTCGGGCTAGTTTCTTTGCTTCGGTTTTTAATTAAAGTAAGGGCGAAATACAGTCAGTCAAAAGTGTTGCGAACTACTTTCCCCAGATGAATATATTCCTATCAATCTAACATTCGCTTTGAATTCCCTCCCTGTTCCTGTCTAGTCTGCCAATGAACTGACATTTTACTTACGTACATGTAAACATTTGGCTGCTACGGTTTCTGAGAACAGCCAGTCATAATCCTTGCGCACTACCTCCCATGATAAGCCTGTCGCTTATCAGTGTAACATTTGACTTGATCTATATTTTACCCGAACACCCCTTCCTGTCATTACATTAGGAAGCATTACTCCCTCAAAGCAGATGAGCTCACAGAAGCGGGCGGTACCTAGCCTCTACCAGGCACCGCGGATCGCTGGAAAAAGTAGTAGAAATTGGCCAAAATAAAGGGAACACTATACCAAGGGTACATTTTCCGTGGATCGAAAAATGTACCCTCTCTGGTCAGCCAACTCCCCTGCCCTGGTATAGTATTCCCTTTATTTGGGCCAATTTCTACTATGTTTCCAGCGATCCGCGGTGCCTGGTAGAGGCTAGGCGGCACCCGCTGAGTGAGATGGAAATTTATGTGCGCCATTTTCGCGGCGAACGGGAGCGGCATGTTGCTGGACAGTCGCCATATTGCGGCGTGAAATGGCCGCAGAGTGGACACCTGTTCTGTCCGTGTCCGGGGCCGGACAGAGGTGTAAAACAGTCGACGGGTAACGTGTAGCGGCTAACATGACAGACGGCTTCACACTGGTGTAAATCTGACTCCTGTCCGTCTGTTTAGACCACTGTCAGCAGTTCCAACGGTTTCAGTGGGGAACAACACTCCACTACACTCCTTTTGATTGGTGCAAAAATAGTAAGAATTGGCCAGAAAAAATAGTATGGATTAACTCAATGGTTATCTACAACTGAAGGACAAAGTAATCTTCAAGCAGATCTTTTGGTGGCTGAAAGACTGTGTCAAATTGGTCACTCAGGCAGTATCATTGACAGCGCAGTTTCCAATACGCCACCCGAAATTTGACTAGCGAAAAAAGATACTACATGTGCAGTACAAAAAAAGAAAGCCCTATAAAACGCATAAAAACCCGTCAAAAGTAAAACGAAATCTCAACCCCAGCTCGGAGAGCACAAGGGGACAACCACAACTTTTTGGTCTGACATCTTTACTACTGGTATTTAATTTTACCAGCAACCGGAGGAGCCCGGAAGAGACCAGTCCAAGCGACTGTCAAAACTGCAAAAAAAGAGCTCGTCTTTTCTAGTCCTACCTTCTCTATTCAAAGGAACTTTTTACGATAATCCCGGTTGTCCTCGCCGTTGTTAGAGCGGAGAGAGGACGGAGACAGTTCGGCTGTAAATCCGGCTCTACTTTAATCCCTCATGACGCGCGGAGTCATATCATATCGATTTTACAGCCGAGCGAAAAGAGTCGGTCTTTGTTTTCGGTGGCAAAACTGAAGGCCAAAAGGTGGATGTAAAATTGTCTAGCTGATGAAATCAGTAGCTTTACAGGATTTGATTAAAGTGGTTCGCGTTTCCGCTGATTTTTATCAGAACACGGTAGATAAAGCCCGACATTACGACTTTAATGTTCTATTTTGAGAAGCTGACGTCCCGTTTAGATCTCGGACCATTGTAACGTGTCTGTCATCTGTTCTTCAGGCACACGACTCAATTATGATATGATCTCATCAGATGCCCTCCCCACTAATGTTGTCACTTACAATACCGTGGCGCAGCGGGGGGAGGTTTAGAGCCGCTATTTTCCCGGTGTAACGTACGAGCTCACGTTCCCATTGTTTACATGACAATCCGTAATGTCCCGTGCTTGCTGCCCAGCTCTCTAACCCAACAATGCCGGGGTAGTAACGGGATTCGTCTCACTAGTTTGCGATGTCTTTTTGGTGGACGTAAATTGAATTTTCCTTTGTTGTTGCTGGCGACAGCAAATAAAAGAGGACAGTAAAACACGTCGGGATGAAGGCTGGCATCTGGACACCCTTGTACCGGCAACACGCACAGCAACATCAGCAGAAACACAAGTTATCATTATTTTCATCCCGACACGAGCCATGCGTTAGAGTCATACAATACATGTGTTCTGAACTTCTGTTCTTGTTTTTAACTTCGCAAAAATACACTGTTTATTCTGTGGGATACGGGGCGAAAATATTAATAAAGCAGTTTTGGTATTTCTCGTAAAAGTTTACACCCTCTTTACTTTAGTGTGAATCAAAATGGAACAAAAAATAAAAACAATCGGAATGAACCCTGTTCCCTGTCTAAAGCTTTGAGTCTGAGGTACAAAAAAACGGCTCCAAAAATGTCACAAAAACGCCTGGGAAAAGTAAAACACATTTTTCGTTCTAACAGTAACAGTCTGCTTCAGACTTGTAATTTCAGCCGATTTACCTATCGAAACGCATTTCAAGAAGCAATGTTTGGCCCAATGTTTCACCATAGCAGTGTTTTCCTTTCTCACAGAAAACTAGAATAATATTCAACAGAAAAGATATCCCGTTGGACAAAACCTTCCCCTGATAGACGAATGATGATTCACGGAGACAACATATGGTTAACCCGGTAACATGTGTGCGGATAATAGCCGGGGAGACACACATCGTGTATCATCCAGTCCGGAGTGTTGGCTGGCGTTTTGTTATGTTGATCTGACAAACGGACCTACAACAATCTCTATAGTTGTACCATCTCATTAGTTCTACCCTACATGTATTCTGTTGTAGCGAAGAACAGCAGTTTCTCTGCGTGCTTTGAACTTTCAAGTGAAAAAAAGGCACTAGAGACTTGCATATACATTTTCACATCGAACTACCCTCATTTGTACTAAACATGTTACAAATTTCAGTTGGCCATGATCTTAAGTACAAGAAACGTACAGTACTTTGGGTGCGAACAAATATGTTTTCGTTGCGGGGATCATTTCGCAGGATGATTTCCGACCTTGGAACGTAGATACTAAGATAGGGATTTTACTCCTGTTATTCCACACGGTTTGCATGAAAGAAGGAATGGACGAGCACACAGTTGTCGAAGTCTTTGGCAGACCTCTTGGTTTCGAAAGAGGCAATCTGAACTCCTATGACTGGCCAAGTCCACACTGATACAAAAGTAGTTAAAGTACATAGTAGATCCTGAAAAATTCAGATAAAATTTCAGCCTATGTACAAGTGATACGAGACCATAAATAAGTAGACCATACATAGACTATGAGTGGACCCAATGACATTATATAGAGAATGACCTTGGTAAACCATACATAGACTTGACTACTTGAGTAGATAGAGCGGCCAGGCTTCATCTGATACTAGTACCTGTAAGGCTGAACAGGTGGAACACGGTAGGCTAAATTCTGTGCCAGGGCACCGTGGCCAGGACTAGAGATTTATGAACACTGCACCGTGGCAGACAGTTCTGATCTAAACACCCATAACCAACTTGCGTCACTCGGGAGTCCGTCACGATTTAATAGAAGTCGTCTGGTTTCGTAAAAGCTAGCTCAAACTTCAAAACGAGAAATTCGTAGCACCTTCATACTCTAGTCTAGTCAGATTCTACCCATTTTCCCCTGCCACCAAAAATAAATTCGTCCTTGACTTCAATGCGATCTATCACGCAGGTTAGAAAGTCCTTATACGAAAGAGTGGAGCGGAGAAGATGGATGTAGTTTGACAGTTTGTCCACACGGCCTCAGACACACGGCGGGCTCCCAGTCTGCTCAGAACAACCACAAAACAATAGTTTTGTCATCTATCTGACTCGGGTTTCTGTCCTGTCGGTCAGAAGCGGGAGAAAACTAACAGAAAGTGTAACAGGACTAAACAGACAGATGTAGTGTAGGAGTGGGTGTACAATCGCGACTGAGAGTGATCAACACAAATTCAGGGGAAATCTACGCACAGGTGGCACGATAGAAGCAACGTGTAAATATTCGCGTAAACTTCTACAACAAATTCGGTATACATGTTGAATATAACTTACATCATAAGTGTTATGTTATGCATAACAAGATCTTATGCGACCAGTAAAGAAAGTTTAGTGGAAAAATGTTTTTCTTAAAAATAAAACGTCAGTTTTTGTGTAGTGGGTCATTAAAATATTTGGAGAGGTTAAGAAAATCGTGGTTCAGTATCCGAAGTATCTTGGCAGGACATGGAACATGGTCAAAACGAGAAGCATGCATGTGAATCTAACAAAGCAAGAAGTTACTTTCCAATAAATGAACTAAAACTCTGACTTTGAGGGTCGTTTCAGCACACAAGTTTTACTCAAGCTATAGGTTTTAACGAGCGTCGCGTATCTTGTGGCAGTTCCGTCGCTTCTCACCTAGTATTCACGTACTATGATAGTATCTACCCCAATGTGTGTGTGATCGTATGCTTTTCCATCAAATTTAGAGTAGAGGATCATACTACATTGTACAAGTATATGTTTTGATGTACAGAAATCGTGAAAAGACGGAGCACAACATGCTGCACACACACCAGAGCACCAGGCCGCGTCACTTCTCAGACTTCCATACGAGATTGACAATTTTATGGAGGGTTTCAGACATTTTTACAGACCCAATCCTCTCCATATCGTCTCATTTGCCGATATTTTGGGTGAAGACTGTGAGATACAGGCCTGACAGGGCATAGTTTAAGGCCCTATCTGCGACTAAGCGCATCAAATTGGACAAATTAGGCGAAATAAATCGAATTATGGCGATATGGCAGGAGAAGGGTCGAGGTTCGATGTGTCGTCTGATTTGTGGTTTCACGGAAACGAAAAGATAAAAACAAAGAAATTGCAACTTTTTATATGTAGATGGCACGAAAATAACAAATAAATCGTTACCATTTGTAGCGTAACATATACGAGGACTCGATCAAAAACATTTCGTAGCTGAAGTCACATTATGTACAAGATGGGCTTACGCTTGTATTTTCTGGTTTCAAAAGCAGCGAATGGCTTCCCGAATTGTTCTAAACAAGCTCATCGACAGCTTCACGATATCACCAACATCTGTTTGAAACTTTCTGTTTAGAGATTATCTTAGCGGCCAGGCTTCTGTGTTTGGGATCAAATGAACAGAAACGGAACTGCATGACAGTTGGACAAATTGGTCGGAGTTTGGGGCACATCTTGTGTGGTCGTGTTGCAGCGCGGTTTGTGCGAGGTAACAACGTCAGTGTGGTCTGCTACAGACACCGATTGTCCAGACCATTTACTTTCCTTTCTGGAACAAATAACAGACTTTATCCCGCACCGCGCGGGTTTGATCTGACTCCGGACTCTCTCCCCCTCCTGTATGTTTCCGGGAACTGCCGTGGTTTCGGAGAATAGCGAGGGAAGAAAACTGGCGCAACTCTTTTCACGAGCGTCTCCGTTCTGCAGAAATTTATTACGGCGAGAGCGGCGTGCAGGTTTGTTGTGGTCGAGGCCCGAGAAATGCCCCGCGGTTGGTGACATAAATCCTCGGCGCCACGCCGACGCCTTACCGCCCATCAAGACTTCTTTGTCCGGAAGCCAATCGGGCTAAATTTGGCTGCTCGTTTTTCTCTTTTTCCCAGGGATTGTAATAAACTTCTTTTCTTGTTTCATTCCCACCCGCTCCCTCCCAGACCCGCCGTCGGCATGTTTTGATGCTGTTTGGGAGATTGTTTACCGCGATGTTTACTTGCTCGATTTGCGTTCCACAGTAGATCTTGGTTTTCAAACATGGAGAGGTCCCTTTGACGCACCGTGTCCAAATAACCAGAGCTGGCTCAGCGCTGATAGGGCGCATTGTGGCGGCGTGTAACGACACAGGTAGACACGACCACCGCAAACACCAATAACAACTCTACAAATATTAGGCTGTTTTCGCAGTACAAATAAATTGGCTACACCTCTCGGTGATAGTCACTGTCACCGACGGGCTATCTACGGCTTCCCGCCGTCGGAAGGATTAAAGGAACCGCGAGGGGTCCATGCTTTGTCTTTCTAATGCAAAATGTATGTTTTTCTTGTAATTGGGTGCAATACTACCGAATCCGGCCAAATTTGCAAGTGACGAAAGGAATTTCTTGGCTAGTGCAGGCAAAGTGGTTTTATAGAGACAGACAGACGACCTGAGAGGAGAAACAGCGGAGAAAACAACAAGACTGAGACACTAGAGCAAGGTGGAAGCCTGGTACTGAGGAATTCCCATTAGCAGTCTGTCAGCGACCCCCAGACAAAAAATGGTTCATAGTTGACTGTGAATTCTGAGCTCGGGCTCCCCGTCAGTGTAGACAACTCGTGGGCCTGGGGGACTTGTCGGCATGAGCCACAGAAAAGTCGCCCCTCCTCGCTTGGACGCGCACGAAAAAGACATGAATGGGTCTCAGTTTCCAACAGCCCATTGACATGTATGTCGTGCGGAGATACAAGGGACGGGACGTGTACCAACATGGCGGGAGACAAAAGGCGACGAATTAGCCCGGTTGATAGAAGAGGTGCAATTGCTGTGGTGGCACGCCTCCTCCTGACAAAATACGTACAAGCGGGACGCCACAAGTAATGATACTCACATGGACACACACTCACACACACACTCACACACACACTGCCTTACATTCATATAACAGTTACTTGTATACCGTAGCCGTCATCATGCTTATACAGTAATAACTACAAACATACACTTTTCTGTCTAAGATTTAGAATAAGAACATTTATGACAACAAGGTCCTTTCTTTTCATGTAAAGAGAAGGTTACTTTTTCCTGACTGAAATTCGCCAGACCGCTTGAAATTAAATGTTTATGTTCATTCGAAAATAAAAATGTTTATGAATATTTGATAACGCCATTCCATTTCCGGAAAGTGACCTACTATAGAAAATAAATGGAAGACCAGTAGAAGGTAGGCGTTACTCAATCATTATCACTGGAATTTTAACAACTCGAGTGAAAAATGGTCAACAGAAACACTTTATAGCTTCTGTTGTGCCTTTGCCGAACATAAAATGGCTTCCGTGTGTTACTTTGATTTCAAGGTTGCCGCATGTTTTTGTGAAGTATGTCCAGATTGTTGTTAGAGATTGGTACATGTCAAATGTACATATAACATAACTGACTGTTTTATATTGTTGTCAGTGTAATTGTGATGGCATGGTTTCCCTACAGAGCTATAGTAGGAGTACACGATGTCCGTGTGTGTAGGTGCCCTAAACTGACGACAAGGGGTCCCAAAATTGCCCGCCATTCCTGCCCAAATAGCTCGAAATGATATCATAAAAGCCTCAATTCGTGTATCATCAGTAAGGTGTGTGTTAGAAGGCGGAGTGGCCTTACCTGGGGGAGGACTTGTGGAGTAGTTGCTTTTCCTCATCCAGTCGTACGGATTTCTGCTGTGCTGCGGTCTCTGGCTGTTGGTGGAGTTGGTCGTCACTCCCGACACGGCGGGGCTGTTGGCCTGGATGGCACCGACGGGGACAGGGTAGTCCATCCCGGGGAAGGCTGTACAGGACCCGGTCGGGCCGGCGGTCAGCCCGGTCCCCGCCGAGCAGTTGTACCCGCGACCGTCCCATTCCTCGGGCCTCTGTCCGGGCCCGTGCGAGCCGAAGGCGGCGGCGGACTGCCACGCGGCGGCGGCGGCCGTCTGCTGCAGGTTCTCGCCGGCGGCGTTGACGGCAGGCGGGACCTGGTACTGTCCGTACTCCGCGGGGTAGGCGGCAGGGTGCGCCGTGGCGTAGTTGTACGGGTTCAAGTTGTAGCTGCCCTGGGAGGGGTGACGGTACATGGCGGAGGGAGACCTGTCCGACACAACATGACACAAATACATCGTTACCAACTCGCGGGCCTCTTGCGGGCGGGCTGCTGACGGCACAGGCACGGCGAACACCCGGCGTCTCAACTCGGCTGTCAGTCTCGTCTCTAACGAGCTCGCCGTGACAAACCAGTGGCACAATCGGAAGACACAATATGACTTCCCTTTGACATGATTGACGGCTGTTTACCCGTGGTATTTGAAATTCAACACCGTGACGTGACGTCACAAGATGGAACCAAAATTGAAAAATGTGCCCATGCCTCCGATAATGAGTGTTTTATAGTTTTCTCCGGGAGACTTTCCCGTTGGAGACCAGCTCTTTGTACGGCCGGATCTCGCACCTACCTCACAATCTACACGGGGGAAATACCGAAATATGACGACTTAATGGCATTATTTTGTTTCTGACTCAACGGTAAACAAGAAAACTTTGTTCTCGTGGGAGGCGAAGTGCACAACAACGACACAACAACAGCTGGCCTCAGCACGGAAAATCGTAAAAATACCTCCGTTTTTTCCTCCCCACCCTTGGAAAAAAACACGTCTCCACGCCGCATATGGCGGGTTACAGTTCTACATACCTCCCAGAAAAATGCCGGCCTTTCCAGTGTTTACAAAATGACCTTTTAAGTGTAGAACATGCAGGACTTTTGTTCGTGCGCGGGAAAGACCTGCACATAGGGAACCATTCTCCCCCCTGTACTGAGAGACCCTGCGTGTTTACGTTACCCTGGACAACTCATTGAACGTCGCAGCAAGACTACAGCAGATTTGGTAGCCAACAACCGGGCCTTTTACAGCCAGGCTTGGAGAGGTTTTTACAGCATTATTTTACAGCCCTCCTCCATGAGGAAGAAAAAAATCGGCGCGTGGCACGCCGTAAAACCGTCGGGACGTTACCTCAGTGCAGGGCGCTCCCTGGTCCACGGTCGGGCGGCAACTCCTCAGGCCTCCGGGCGGGTACTCCGTCCTGTCGCGGCGGCAAAGTCCTGTCCTTCCCGCGTCGCGGTACCGCAGCGAATCCTCTCCAAGCGTCTGCAATGTTTACCAAGGCAAGGCATAAGTTTATTAAGTCTACCTTTACGACCTGAAACGATTCGGTTTATGCGATAGGCCGGGCCGGTCACCTAACTGCATTGTGTGGCTGGCCACTCTTATCGATATGTGCCGGCGGCTTGGTGGATACACTGAAGTCACGCCGCGGGAATTATGTATTTTCCTTATTAACATCAAATTAAGTAGAGAAAAGTGCGGTGACCTCTACCTGCCAGAGCACTTCGCGACCCTACATTTGTCAGGGGACGGGACATGAATGTCAATACTTTGTCTGAAGGTATGTCTGAAAATTCCTGCAAGTTTTGGGGAGAAAACAATGGGTTTTTTGGGTTGTCGAGGCCAGCTACGATTAGCACTGACGTGAGAAAAGTTTGGCATTGTGGCGCGTCACTTTGAAGCCGGCCCGCCAGCCCCCCGGCGACCCCCTTCTTCAAAATAAATTTTCGCACCCCACATAGTTGAATTTCACAATGAAAAGGACTTTTCTCTTCATATGTACGGCTTCTGTTCCGAGGTGTGCCGCCGCCCTACAAAACTCCGCTGTTCTGTCAGTATGGGAAAACCGTGGCGGCGGGCGGATTACAACGTTCACAATGATTAATAAACATGTTTAGACGTTTTCCAGTAAACTCCTTTATTAGACTACAATATCAGTGACATCAAGCAACAGAAAAGACAACTTACAGCCGTCAATGTCTCTGAATTTCGGCGACGAGAGGCGGTTATTTACATGAAAATGTGGGCAAAGGACGCCGACAAATTTGTCCGCAATTGCAAGACAATGGCCGGGCGATTGGCATGAGAATGGGCTGTATGTTTTCTCTGTGTTTTTGACTTACCGAAAAGGCGATTTTCGTTGTCTCTTTGTTGTCTCTGATACTGACACCAGGATGGTACATAAGTTTAGAGATAAAGTGCAACTGCACATGTGATATGACTCACTAATGTCTGTGTAGGGCGGTACCGGATACCTGTGCCACACTGGTTCATAACGTCCACATATCAACATAAAATGGCCGGGAAAAACCGTCTTTTTTCAAGAGATTAAAACCTTATAGACTCATCTCCATGACATAGACCCCTCCTCTTGTCTCACTCGAGTATTACAGAAGGTAGTAGGAGATTAACAATCAATGTTTGAGCGAAATTTCGTTAATTTTCTTCCCTGAAATTCAGGTTGTCCTGTAGAAGGTTGTATAAATCATCCAGGGACCACTGTACCATAATGACAGACCTGATTACCATAATGAACAGGGATATGACAGAATATATTGTAGCGCGCATTATCCTTCATACAGTGTAGTTTTACCACTAGACTGTACAGGTTTTATGTCAGCACGAAACAATAGAGATAAAACGGCCGATCAGTGCGCTTTGTAATTGTATCACTAAGAGTTTATTGACCTGGCATTAAAACAGGTTCAAACTCCCCCATTCTGATATCATAAATCGGTAACCCGGGTGCAATTTATCTGTTAGTTCAGTAGAATATAGTTACAACTGTTCGGTTTGAACAGCCTGACCATTGCGGAATGTACGGTGTACAGTTGTGATATGGTGCGGTTACGCTGCCTGGCCTGATCACCGACTCCTCCGTGCCAAATGGACCAGAAATAAAGCCTGTAATACCGAAACTGTGAGGTACTCGCCCAAGTCACAAAGCACAATGAAAACGGACAAATTTTAACCAACCGTTTGCGAAGCAATGAAATTTTACGATCCCCCAAATAATAGACTGCTACTCACCTTATAAACTCTTGCTATCAATGGTGTCAGAGGTATGTGGTATTCCCTCCTTTGTTTTATCTTTTGTTTGCAGAAATACGCTGATATTAAGGTGTAAAACCTTGTGAGAACGCTCAGTGTCTTAAGGTGAACACGAGGTGTCTCAGACAGAACGTCTCGGCGCTCCCACCCGATCTTCTCACCTGAGAAAATACCTGTAACCGTCAGGTGTAGCTGTCTTTTGTCGGGGCGTGCACAGGGGCAGAGACAGGACCCTTGTCTGCTCACACGGCGGTTTTTATAGAGACAAATAACCGGCCAGGTTGTTATAGGTGGCGGGGAAGGGTACTGCAAACCCGCCTGCCCTCCGTCTCCATGGTGATGGCTAATAAACTCCCATAAAAACGGCATGATTTAGGACAGGTACAAGTTTACTTTTACCAACGGTAAACACGGCGTACCTCCAGGTTAGCGTGGACAAATTTCCGCTTGTTTTGGGTCCACCGTTCCCTTTTTCTTGTGCGTTTGAAGAAGGATGTATTCTGTTTTACAATTTGTGAGAGCAGCGGTGCAATATATACACACGTGAAGGCTGACATTTAGAGTTAATATTCGTTTGCCAACAGTTTTGAATAAGATATACAACTCTACTATTGTAAGGTATACAACAAAAAGCGTCACACTTTGTTTATCCCCAACATGAAAGGAAAATTGTGCTGCTAACAAACACTTTTAAACGTTTTGTAGATAGTTTTTGGAAATCGGGGAAAGATTTTTCCGTACCCACCTGTGCGTTTGCGACATCTTCATTTAAAATATTTGTTCTCTGTCAGAATATTTATATCAAAATATACTACATATACTTTGCAACGTATATGCTTCCTATCTTATTCCTCATGGAAAAGGAAATAGCTTTAGTACTACAAGAAGATTTTTGTGAGTTTTGTAATTTTTTTTTCTCATTTCTGTGCTAGATTTTTCGCCGTGTGTCCGACTGTACAGCTCCCACCTGTGTATGTTGGTGCAGGCTGAAGTACTAGTAGTTGTTATCTGCCTCACATCTGGGAGGTATGTGGGAATGTTGGGTCGGCGCAAATATCAACAATGGTCTATATCTTACCCTGGCCAGTCACAACACAACACTAGATGATTCGGCTCTTTCTTTCTTTCTTTTTTCCCACCGTTAACTGAATTCAGACTTAAAGTTGATATGTAGTCTCCACCAGACTCTTTTGCAGGCTGAATAAATAGTAGAAATTGGACTAAAAATAATGTACATATATGCAAGCAAACAGGACCCTCTATGGTAGGCTAACTCCCCTGGCCATATATTTTTTTTTAGTCCGATTTCTACTATTTACTAGTATTCAGCCTACAAAAGAGTCTGGTGGAGACTAGTTGATATGAATGTAGAGCAATAGTTTTTCTTCGTAATCGAACAACAACCCAATAATCAAATAAGCACCAAACATCATTCTATTGAAACGTTTACGTGCACTCCGTCATAAAAATTATAAAAGGAAAGGATAATTCGTGAAATGTTCCAGCATTTTCAAGCAATTAAAGGAAAATGAACAGTTGAGGTGTAGAAGACGGTGTTTTGAGATATTGTACAGGCCTTGTCAGTAACCTAACGGAAGCCATACGCACACCGGTTTTTGCTTCATCCTGTAACAACACGTATAATTAAGGTGTAAAACGAAATTCTCACATACACGACAAAAGCACTTAAAATAAACTGTCTGTCAGATCAGTCCATAAACCACGCCGAGTGTCTTCTCTCTCTGACATCACGCGAAATGGACCACATGGAGAGAAAATATACTTTTTCCATCAGGTGTGCTATGTGTTTGTATGTTAAAATCCTCATTTCTCAATTTAACGTAAACAGTACGTTTTATAGCTTCCAGGTCTGAAACTTGTCGTTTCACGGCGTCTTTCATAATGCATTAGATCTTACAGTGTTTTTTATCTCCTCTTTTTTAGCTGGTAATATCACGAGAAAATCTATGGAAGTACCTCACACTTTACTATAGAATAGGTACTCGTAGCGTTCGCAGTACTAGTATCATAATGCACCGTGCACATAATTGGGCTTCTTGGAACTCTATCAATGATAAGGAGTTTATGCCGTTGTTCTTATTCAACATAGGTAACTCATGCAGCCACATGTAAATTTTCATAGCGGATTTTACAAACTGCGTGGTTTCTTGGATAAATTTTCGCCAAAAAGGCACACGCACAAGAGATCTTGAACCATGGAGTTAGAAGGAAACCATGGTGTTAGAAGTAACATGTATAAGTGGTATAAATAAGCTAAAATATTCACAGTCTGGATCGTTCACTTTAAATCACATGTACGCGACAGTGGGTAATGTCTTCTGAAGTGAATCTGAACAAAAGTGGTCCTTTTTTCGTTTCTTCAATGATTTTCTTGTGTTGTAGTGTTCTGTTTAGGCGTATTGTTGTTGTTGTCCAGACGCTCGCTGTGAGCCACCGACTCATAACAGCAAAACAACGAAAGGACGAGCGAATCCAATCAGCAATTCTGACTGTAGGACCGTTCAATAAAACCATTACCCCGTCCTGTTTCCGTGGATGCCGGGGGGACCGGGCGGGCTGGCCGGACCATTAGCCGGGAGCGTGGCGCCAGTCACGGCACACAGGCACCGCGCGAACAAAAATGGACGACAGACGCGCTGGCTCGTTTTCACGGCACAACGCGGCAGAGCCCGTCCCTGGGGGCCGCACGGAGAAAGTTTTCGCCTCGCCGTCCGGTTGTCAGGGAGAGGGGAAGACTCTAAACTGAGGACCACCAAAGACTTTATTGGCGTTCCGCTCGTGCCCAATTATCTTGTTGTTGTAGCTGCTCTAACGTTTGGAACGGGCAGGACAAAAGAAGACGACTGCGCCCCGTGCAATGACGACCGGCGACAGAATGACAGCCACAATCCGTAAAATGTTTTGTGGCGCAGCTGTTTATTTTTAGAGACTTGAAGAATGATCCCTTGTTGCTCTTTGCACATGGAATGATCAACTTTGGGCGGCGTTTTGGCATTGAACCCTGAAGGACAATTGCTCCGAACGATCTGTTTAGATTTATTAGGATTAATTGATTCTCCTTTGTAGATAACGGTTTAATTAACAATGTAATTAATCTTGGGAAAATGAGCTGTCATGTTAGACACTGCAGATGGGACCAGCAAATCTATACCTTAATGATGATATAAATGTTATAATGAATATCATACAACGCATATTGTCGTTCATTGTTTCATTTTGGTGCCTGTATTACTTAACCTTTTACCGGCTTAATGATGAGGCACGAGTATTTCTATATATTTCTAAAAAATCTAAAAGTGGCACTGCTAGATCACAGAATTATTTCAGATGTCTCAAATAAATGTGACAGACGGCAAAGAGTTGTACTAGTACCTCCTTGCCTATTGCATGTGCCCCACACCGAGAGACTGAGCTGGGGTTACTCTTAAATTATAGCCCTTTTCTGAGTTGTCATATCAAGAGGTTAAAATATAGATTTTTAACCTCCTTGGTTTTAACCTCTTTGGTCATATCGTTAAAAAAACATAAAATCATAAAATCATTTTCTTTTTTACTGTTTACCTACAGAAACTTTAGAGACTATACCTTTCGATAGACACTAACACATAAGATTGTGTTACTTAGAACGAAGAAGGTACTAGGTACTAGTTAGTAGTTGTTTGAGATTGTCTACGAGATCATAGTAGGAAGCAGGTATAGTCTACACAGTTCTATGGTAAAATTGAACCTCTTACACATCAATAGATCATATGATTACAAAGTCAATAATGCAAATCAACTAAGTATGTCGACTGTGTCATATATTGGCAATATCAACAAAATTGTGTCGAATATTGGCAAAACCTCTCTTCCACTTACATATGCCTTGCACTTTCAGATGCAATGTAGAATTAGAGTGTAATGAAGCTATGAGCGTATTTTACACCATTTCGGTGTTAATAGAATTTCAAAGCACAGAACGTTGTTGGTGTCTTTACATTGAACTAAAGAAAAGGTAGCCAGACAGTCCCATACAAACAGTATATAATTGATGTCTTCAGCAAGAATGGCTGGGAGTGTGGGTGAATGGCTGGGAGTGTTGGGTCTACAAACGCTAAGAAAAATCGTGGCTGGCTCCCGGAGTAATAAAAAGATAACAACTTCTTCAATAGAAACAAAAGATGGTTTCAAACTGAACTAACAGTTACATGTTGGATTGATACGGAATGAATAACTTCAAACAGTCGGGAACTGGACTTTAGCCACAGAGAAATCGGCGCTAAGCTTTGTCGGAGTACAGCCCCCTCCCAAATCACCCTCTCCGTATCGCGACAGGTGATAACCTTTAAGACGGAGGGGCAATCTGAAGATAAGCCGGGGCGCGAGCTGGAAAATTGGATTTCTCCGCGCGACGCTTGTAGCTGGGGTTATGTCTTCACTCCACTTAGGAAAAACACCTTGAAGAAATAGTCTCAGCCATACGAATTTGTTGGTGAGAAAATACAATAGTATAATTTGGTCAAATAGAATACTAGTAATTTGCCGAAGTTAGCCAGTCAGAGAAACCACACCACAATTAGCATGAACCCAATTCAGCCTATCTTTTCAACTCCTTTGCAAAAATACTCGAATCACCTACTCTCCAAGCAGGGATTTGGGTCTTGGCTTCTTTTAGGCGTTTTTAAGTTTGCTTTTTTTCATCGGGCTTTCTTTTTTTGCTCAGGTATATTTTGTTACACAGTACAAAAAATAAAGCCCGATAAAAAAGCCTAAAAACACGCCAAAATAAGCCAAAACCCAAACCTCTGCTTGGAGAGTACGATTCACCCTATTTGGCCAATTTTTGTGTCAGCGGCCGATGGAGTCTGGTGGAGACTATCCCCGAAGTGGCGAAGTCAGGCCCGTTATCTCGGCAGTTTGGGTAAGATTTGTGTGAGAGTATGCCGTGCACGTTTACTGAGTTATTGCCCCCATTCCGCTGCTAGTTTTACGAGCTAACGCGGAGCTAAACTGATATTGATGCGGAGAATGACCCCCATCCGCTGGTACAATATGAATTGAATCATGAGTGTTACTGGGGGATTATAGACTCACACATCACATAATTAACAGGTATCAAAATCGACATATCTCGCCAAGACACGTCGTAAAGCTGACAGGGAGCGGTCTTTACTCGTCCCTCCCCGCGGAGGGATATTCCGCGCACGTAAGGTGAACTGAGAGCGTCTTTGTGGAGACATTTTACGACAGATCCCAAAGCATCTAGTCCTGGGAACGTGCCGTACTTATGGAAATTAACAACTTCCCTCTTCAGCAGGTAAAAATCAAACGGGCAATCTGAAGCTGTACAGGCGTCATGATTTATCTATTGTCACGCCGATAAACTGGACTTGGTTAGGCTTTCTACATACATGTACTGGTACTTGTATGTTTACGTGCAGCGACGCACATCGTAATATGAACGAAGGATAGACAAAAATTAAATCATAAGTTCTTTTCTTCACTTGAAAATTTACATTACATTTCGGCGCATATGATGTGTAAACGATGTATATCTTACAACTTAATCTAAAGTTGATTTATGAAATACAACAATCTCTGTATGTTTCACACTTGAAAAAAATCCAAACCAGATCTGGAGCAATAACATTTTATTAACATCGTATCTGTTATTTGTTTGTTTTTATCGCGTTTATAGTATCCTACACCTTAGCATGGAAAAGGGTAATTCTATTCCTCAACGGAAAGTTTTTTTAATGAGGTAAATGTACTAGCCTCCACCAGGCCTTTCTACGGGAATACGGATCATAGACTTCGGCAAAAAAGAGAGTAAAATTGGCCAAGGGAGTCCGGCCGGTTCTTTCACTGCGCGGCCAGTCAAACCTACAAGGCGGCCAAACTCCCCTGGCAAATATTCTCCTATATATATAGCCAGCGTAGTTAGTCTGGTAGAGACTATAAATGTACAAACTGGAATCTCCTTGTCTCAATCCGCGATCTTCATACAAAATCAAGCCTGATCTATCATGCGGCATGAGGCGTTTGTTCCAGTCATAATTTATGGCACGTTATTAAGAGCAATATTTCATGCTGTGATCGACTCTGTCTGGAAATGTGGATTAGTCGGTCAAAATGGATCGAAATTAAGGTTCTCAAATAAGTATTTCTATTACATTTACAGATTTTATCGTACATTTCAAATATGTTTATGGCTAACATATATATGGCTTCAATCTTGTCCTTTCACGTCTTATTCAGATACTACATCTTGTAGTTATATATGTATGAATCATGTATTCATGTATGAGGTAATTCATTTCTATAATTTTCCTGAGTCTCGCTGTCAACTTGATTGTGCGTTTTTTCGTTTTTTTCAATCACATTCGGCTCTTCACAGTAACTCTTTCCCATCCATCTGTTGAAACCTAACAAACGATAAAAGTACATTCTTTCTTCTATTCTATAGCTACCCGTGTATCCTCATCACACCTCATGAAATAATTTAGAAAATAGAATAATTTACACCAGCGCAATCAGGTCCTATCATAATACAATGTAGAACTAAGCGCATGATGATTTTGCCTCAGTGTTGCATCTTGTACGTTCTGTAGAGAACTCCAAGCAGATCTTTCGGTAGCCAAGACAGCTGCACTTGGCCATCTCTGGTCCACCATATCCAGTTTCTTTCCCTGGTGTGAAGTCTGTCAGATGATGAAGACAGCTAGTATCCAATTGGTCAGACAGTATCCAGTGGTCTCAGGTTGTGGCCCATTGCATAGTGCCAGGCCAAGTCAACAGGATACTGTCTCGTTTAATCTCCAAGCAGATCATACAGTAACATTGCAGTATCCATTGGTCAGAGGAGTGTCCATTAGCTATCTTCGGTGGCTAATGGACACTCCTCTGGCCAATGGATACTGCCTTGCCACCGTATGATCTGCTTGGAGATGTATAATGTCCTTGGTCTCGGTTACCAAAAGATCTGCTGTGAGACTGGAGAAGCAGGAGAACTACAACTTGGCCTCTGACGTGACGATATCCGCCACCCTGAGCCGGCAGATCTTCTTCACCTCCTCCACCCCGGCCAGGGTCTCCTCCTCCGCCGAGTGCTTCACTCGCTCCGTCAATCCGGACAGGATGGCGTCCTTCTTGTTCAGCCGCGCACAGATGACGAACGGGAAGCCGAACTTCACCTTGTACCTTTGACCCAGCAAACAAACAAAAAATATGGTTCATATCATAACGATTTCAGAGCAGACATCCAAAAGTTATATTTAAGTTTATTCTTGTGATTACTTGTTCTGTAGAAAATAAACAAAGTTACCCTCCCTACGTCACTTTTGACCTCCAAGATTGTCCAAGGTCTGGCATGAAATGGACAAGGACTCCATTTTGAACAAACTACGACTTTGCTTGCATTAATAATAATATATTTCCTGTATCTCGTGTAGCTATTCATAATACACTCCTTGTCTATGTTTTCTGCATTTGTAAATTTTATGCTTATGTTTACTCGTTTACGTGTGGCTCTATGATTATAGAAATGGAAATGGGCGCCTCCCTACATGACTTATGTATTCTATATGTGCTGGGTCCCCCATCTAATCTCCAAGCAGATCCTAGCTATAGGGTGGCAAAAGACAGTATCAAATTGGCTAGACAGTGCCATTGCCCCAGAGAGGGTCCAATGTGCCACCCTTGTATTGGACCCTCTCTGGCCAATGGATACTGCCTGGCCAATTTGATGCTGTCTTTTGCCACCCTAGGATCTGCTTGGAGATTATCCATCGACCTAGCCGCTCCCAAAGTGAAACCAATGCCTGCCGTACTGTTGGTTGAGGTGGGTGAGTGTGCTGAGCTCGTCCTGACTGAGACTGTCCAGCCCGGCAGACCGCTGCTCCTGTGTGGACTCGGCGGTGAGCTGCCCAGCCTGCGCCAGCCGGCCCGCCAGGTCAGGGTGGCACCGGAGAACACCCTCCTTACCTTAAGAGACAAAGGAAACTTAGTTAGCATCGACAAGACTAAAAAAAATTGAATTGTCCTTAATTTACAATGCAATATCAACTTTCTCGTAGGATTAAAAACTTTAAGAGAAACATTCTGTTACATATGACATCATTTACAATATACAATTCTAAAGTTACCTGCGGGATAGAGTAAAATGTGGTCCTGTTCTATAACCACGGAGTTTATCGTCTTTGTTGCCAACAATAGCTCTATGTACTGTAGCTCTGACCCTGACGTCTTTTATAGCCGAACCAAAATGGGATATAAAAATACATGTTGTTTAATACTAGTACTAGTCTATATGGATTCAGCCTCCAAGCAGACATAATAACCTGACTTGTTTTTGTTTCTATGTTTTTCTCATTGTTTGTTTTGTAATTGTACGACTTTCGTGCTGTCTGCTTTTTTAACAAGTCGAAGCCACACATCTACTACTAGGAGATTTACACCTCAAGCAATGAAAAGAAACGGACAGTAAATAGTCTCTAGCAACGGTTGTCTAGATTTGATACAATCTATATAGGCATCAATATCATGCTCTTCATTTATTTATTCACTTATTCAAATATCAAATTTTCAGACTCCATATTTTTGTGTGTCACACATTTGCTTTTATATAGAAGAATGGCAACAAATCTTGAAAGTGTTATTGTCCCGTCACTTTACAAAACCAACACCTGGGATCCAGTGAAAAGTAAATTACTGCATCCTCTCCCGCAATACTACACTTTCCCAGACGTTTCTAGGTCCCGATGAACATGCCCGTTATTCTCCAGTCTGCCGGTAGAAATGATTCGCACACAGAGAAACAATGGAGCAGAAAATAGCGCGTCCGTCCAGGTAACTCAGGTATTGCCGTGCCTTTGATGTCGGCTGCCGCAGAAGTAATGGCTTGTCATAATGCAGTAAGGTGGATCTTTAAAAACGCATTGGTGAGTCTGTGGCCGGGCGGCGATGACGCAGGCACGGCGGCGGCGTCGGCACAACAAACCGGCGGGCGCGTTGTCTGCCTGTCCCGGGAGTTGACACGGTAAACTTTCCTATCATTTCTCCCCCCACTTACATGCGCAATACGCCGATAGCTTTTGTTGAACATCAGAGGCACCGCCGGCTGTTTGCCAAGGGTAAACCCAGGGGAGCGATTTTATGTGAAAACTTCATGTTTGCTCGAAAACGATACTCCTAAATGGGAAGGCTGGCTGTGTACTTAGGGGCAGGACCAAACAGAAATGGATCTGTTACAACAGACAAATACGTCATCACTGATCGTGAGACGTGTAGAAATATATCCCTCCTTCTCAACGCAACTGACTTTATTTTATTAACAAGCACAAATTTACCGTTTATCACTTTCCATCAGAACTATTCAGTCTACCAGTAAGCATATCCATTGAAATTTTGCAAATATTTTTTGGGTCACTTGGTCACTATCCTCTGATGACGATTTGAGGTGTTTTATTCAGGTTTACATTAAATAATGAATGGTTTCACCAAAAAGATTGGTTTCACAAATCCTCCATTTCTTACATTCAGACGACAATTCCTCGGCAACATGTTTTACAAGCCAAGCCAAGAAGAGAATCAGTGGACGAAAATATCGATGTTGCAGAGTAAGAAGAAATAATCCTTATAAGTCCAGAGCTCAAATTTCTTCAAGAGTCTCCACGCCTGTTTCCTTGTACGAATGTCTCCCGCCATCCATCCCTCCTGCCGTGTGCGTCCCCAGCACGCGATATCACTCCGTAAGGAGTTTACAATACGCTGAGCGGATTGATTTACAACGATGTCAAATAATCATGTTGTTTGCCCAAATGTCAGAGGTCAACAGCCGAAGTACTCAGGAAATTCAACAAAGTGGTTGAACCGCAGACAGGTGCAACACAGGGGGAATGAACCTTTACTGCCGCTCGACAGAATACTTACAATAGATGATTAATACGTTTATAATGTTCAAATACCCCCAAAACGTCCTTCACTGTTCAAATCGCTACCTTGATGGTGTTTCTCACGTACAGAAACAGCACATAGGTGAATCATCTTTTAGTAAAGGTTCTCTGAATCCTCAGCGACGAAATGAGATGTTCAAACATTCCATTGGCTCCTTTCCGTTCAGAATAGCAAAAAAAACTCATTGGAATAGCTAACTGGGAAATGTATCTGATGCGGAGATTAGTCTTTCAAATCACTACTATGAAATGCTGTCAATCTTACAAAATGTATCATGTATCAAAATGTTTTTAAAAATGAGACCAAAAAAGTAAATCTTATACAGGGTACACGGGGTGTGCATTAACCATTGCTTGGGACGTCAAAAAGCACATCACTCATCAGAAATGTCCAAAGAAATAGATAACACCGACTTCAATAAGAACCCCGTGGGAAGATTTATTGCGCATTCAAACAACAGGGGAAATGAAGGAACTGTGTGCCCAGTAGAAGTAGGGCAAGTCGCGGTGTTGTGAAAAGAGGCCCACGTTGGTTCCGTGAATGGTGCTGGTACAACACACCTGCCCCCACACATCGCCCGGACCGGGCCGTTTGTTTGGCGTCTGCGGAGGTGAAACAAAAAACACCCACATGGAAGAAAAGGTCCCTCAAAGCACGGCGCTGTGTCCAATGTTTGACTTGGTAGGGGAGGAACGAGTAAACCTGTGTGTGTGTGGACCTTAATGGGTCCGAGTTACTGATTAACCACGGTCCTGGCTGGGAAGGTAGAAAAGGTTTGTTGTTACTCTCAGATGGCACTGTTGTCGTGACTTGTGTTCAGTGGCAATGAGACAATAAGCTGCACCTCTAGCTTGCCACTATCTCCATAAGAAGCCTGTCATCCCGTGAACACAAACTAACTAACGAACTGACTTACTATGTCTGCATGCATTCGGACGATTCCATTGTTAAACCCAGAGGGGTGATTAATGGGACAATCCACGGTGCTATCATACCATATACAACATTATATGACTTGTATATGGATGTAGTAATACAAAATGATAAATAATGGATACGTTCTCTGAATAGTCAGATGTTTCAGATAACATCTTTCATCGGTGACCTTCAGAAAATTTATCCCGTTTCTTGATGTATTATGTAATGTACTACCTGGATATCTAACCTTCATCGACGTAACTTCAGTTCTCAGTAGGAATACGATGCCATACTAACGTCATTCAAGGAGATGGTAAGGCAGATGCCCCCCTAGTGTTATAATACATGTGTCGATCATCTTTGTTTTCACTGTTTATATGAGTTTATATGATGATAAGTTTATTGCAAATTCCTGCCCGAAGTCTAAGTGCAAAAGAACATTGAAACAGGGTACAAAATAACTTTAAAATGTACATAATAACACAAGGTAATTTTCTAAAACTATAGCTATGTCTCCTACAACTATTAAGGGTTTGACTTCTCTTTTGTAAACCATGGAAGACGTAATGTCCCACCTTTTCCAAAATTTGTAGGTTTTGGGTAGTTATATTAAAAGAATAATAGTTTTTCTTTGTCTGTAAAAAAAACTGGGATAAATTGTAGAAGTTTGAATAGACAACTCATTTCGAGCGTTTGATATAAGGTGTATTTCTAACACAGCTTATATAAAAGACAAGACTATTTATGCCGTAATCTATTATATTAATTGGTACCAGCCTAGAAGATACTGGTTCTGACCGTATCCAGATCGCCCCAAGTAACAGACTACCTGGGCTGCCTTGACCTGCGTATGTAGGCGAACATAAAGTATCGAATTAGCACACAGACAATTACCTTTCTGAGGTAAGGCGTCTAAAAACTCCGCTATCGTCTGATTCAGGTGATCGACACCTCGGAACGGCCTGTGGGACCACACGGCGGCGGCAGCGAGCTTACAGTTCTCCACCACGTTCCCGAAAACCTCCAGAAACTCTTCGGAGTCGAGTTTGTTCACTTCCGCAATCGTCAAGGACGCCATATTGCTCCAGGCGGGTCGAAGGTCACGCGCGTGGGACGAAGGTCACACCCACCTGTTTCAACGTTACCTTGTTTAACGGTATGACAGCCAGACCGTCTGGTGCAGTCGAAATACTTAGTCCAAATACAATTAGAATCGTCGCAATAAGACTATCTATACACGCGGTATAACCAGTTTTTCTTGTTGCCGCATCCACTTATACTATATATAGAGGATGTGTCCAGAAATCTAGTTTTCCTTGAGTTTTCTTAGCCGTAACCAGTTCTTTACAACCATGACTGAAACATCAACATCTAGGGGAAATCTGCAGAGTTCAGCTTTATATGCAATGTTGCTGGCGTTTCTGTGAATACCGAGAATGTTTTTTTTACAGAGGTCTGTTCAAGTCAGTCCTAGAACAATGTGTTCTTCATTGATTACAGAATATGACACCAATGAGGTTAAATACAAGAGGTATTTAACCTCCTTGATGACACCCATGCAACCGATCTTATAACTTTTATAGAGCAAACGAAAGTCATCTCACCTGACTGGACTGGATAATACCTCATGTATATGTTGGAGGGAAGATTGCTAATGCTTTATGCTGAGGTCACATTTCCAAACCGGGGCCCGGCAGGGTTGTCTCGTTGAACGAAAAATCAACAATTTATATCAAGAATATACGCAAATAGTTCCCATTACAATGTATTACTTTTTAAAACTTTTTCGTGCTTTGTTGTCTTTTATATCATTCTTTTCGTTCCATAAGGCTGCCCGTCCGGGCCCCGGTTTGGAAATGTGACCTCAGCATTACGACTTGCCCTGACATGCTGTAATCGTCCTTCCCAACATCTGCTTGAAGAGTAAGATTTTTGGCGGGAAGCGGTGCCCACACCCCTGGGCAATACTTGTGGTGATTTTCCACAACACGATCAATCTCCGCGTGAGAGAGGTGACGACAACGTCAGACCAAAGGTTGTCGGGAACTGCAGATAAGGGCAGATTGTTGGAAGTTGCGCGACACACCTGTGGTACTTAGCCCTCCCCACATGCGTACTTGCGGTTTCCCCTTCCGCCATGCGATCACTGTAATCTTCGCTCAGAAATACCAGTGGAGTTCTACAGACCACACAGGAGCTGGGCTTTCATTTACAAGCAAATGTACTACAACAGTTTTTCTAGCACGCTTTTTCCGTCTTTCAGGATTTCCAGGATTTGCGAGCTTTTCAAAGGAAGGTGTCCGGTGAAAATAGAAAAACACTTCTCAAAGGACGTTTTGTAGAAAATAACTTGATGAAGAAAAAAAAAATAGTTATTCCTATATCTCCACTTTTTTTTAAAGTTTAAAAGACCGGTGCTTTCTCTGTTTATGAGTACGAGTATTTGATACTACTTGAAATGACTGCAGTTCTGTGATCAAATCATCAGTTGTAATTTGAGGAATAAATATCATCTGTCACTCTTGTTCATAAGGTTCAACCTAGAACGATCTGGCCATTATTTTTTTTGGGGGGGGGGGGTACAGAGGTTCATGGCTTCACTGTCGCCTCTCTGTCTCTTTTGTGGTGTCCTGACGTGCCCTAACCCGTTCTATTGTGGTATCTCCGTGACCGTTCACTTATGATAATGTACCCATGACCGATTATCTACCGAGTCACTGCACAGACGTCACGGGACGTGCAGGGAGGAAGGCCCGGGGCGGAACTACGACCGCAACGGAAGACATTCGGGCAGAAAAAACAAAATATCTCCGTCAGTTTCCAATCTTATATAGCATTTCCCTTTTCCTTTTTCCTAGATACTTAATAATGTTGAATTGAAACAATGATGATCAGGGTCCTGGGTATAGCGCCAGTGAATATATTTAGGATGACTCGTCCGTAGGAAGTGCGTCAAAAGGAGCCCTGTTGTCTGGGGGACTCCCAGTTTTACGGCCAGGTTTTTAACGACTTAATGTTTAAAACGGAACAAAGGAGTGACAATAGTTACTTAAGTGAATTAGAGGGACCGGAGACAGGTGAAATTGTGCATGAGACACAGTGTTACACGTTACAGGCTTCAACTGTTATATACTGCTAATGATAACATTATTCTAAAGTGCTAAGGTAGAAAATGAAAATCCCCCTTCCTCATCCCCTGGAAAGATCTGGGCTGTATATACACCTTTCATTGATTTTAAAATGGGTGGTAAACAAAGTAATAGAATTAGATGTGCATTGGAGAGTGGATCATGTTTACCGAGTGTTGGAAAGTTGAAAGAGAGACTACCTAACTTTTTAATGACTGATTATTTATGTTGATGACATCATGCCATTAGACCAAGCCCGAAATCCAGGATTAACTTTACTACTTTTGTTATTTTCATCTTTCATGTCGTTTCACACTCAACAGTTCACAAACACCTGGCATATTAAAGGTTAACTTACACCGGAGACAAAAAGACTCCATCCGCGTACTTTATGGCTTAATCCGTGTGCCCTTTTGTATAGAAATATGAAAGAAAACGCCGGTTATATTGAGGAGATAATGTGCGTAACAGTGTGTACTAATATTGAAGGTTAAGTGTGATTTCATGTAATATGGCAATTGTGGAAAATGAACATGGAATAAATAGTTGTAAAAGATCTATCCTATGTTGGATGGATTAAGGTCTGTGCTTCGTGCAGACTTCGTCATTTCCTCTTGGGAAGCAGTGGAAAATGAAATACCCCGGTTCTTCTACATGTGTTTCATCAAAGATGAGTGAAAAGGGACGTAGATCTATGCAAATGATGTTGATCATTGCTAACAGTTGTAGACTCAACGGTGGGTCTTTTAAAAGTTATTTGTATTTGTGATTCTTACATTAAAATTTTCCAGCATGTGATGTTGTCTATGTGCCTTTATCAGCGAGAGGGTGCAACATTTCTCCAAGAAAATTTTCTGGGGCAAGACACTATTCAATCGGACAGATCCGCGGGGGCCGACTGGATATTGGATAGTCCACATTTGAACATCGGGCCAGCAAGGTGCCTCGTAGTGGCCTAGCTCAAAAGCGCCTTTTGGCGAAAGACAGTAATAGTGCATGTAGCCAACTGAGTTTGCTGTATTGCTATAAGTACAACACACACAAGTACATAATCTTGACAGTATCTGATATAATCGATATAATCTTATATCTCTATAATCTCTCTCTATATATAATACGATATAATCTTGACAGTATTTGATGCAATCGATATATAATCTTCTATCTCTATAATCTCTATGATACGATATAATCTTGACAGTACTGTGTCTGATACATGTATACACAACAAATTGTATCTCTTTATGCGTTAACAAGTAGTCTTTGATTTTCCTCCTCCGTTGACGGTCCCAGGTGTCTCCTGAAACACAATATTATGACATGTTAGAACGTGCAGTTTCCTGTGCTTCCTTGTCACGGGTACATGGAAGATACCAGAAATTGATAAAGATAACTGATCATAACTCACTATAAAATGGACAAAGAAAGGCAATCTCTTGACACACAATGTAGTAATGTGTGATTTTTTAGTCCTACCTTTTCGGACAACAGCAATAATCACAGATGTAGAATATAAACAAGACGATAGCCTGAAAGATAGAAAGTCATATGTGTGATCGTATCTGAAAAATTTCGCTTGCCTCAGAATCTTATGCAGAAAAACACCTCTACCGGAATCTGGCTAATACAGATTGAGATATGAAAATAGATTGTATGACAGTCAAAGAGCTCCCTACATAAGACAGGATGAACCCTCCCAGTGCAGTCATCGCCCACGGGAAGCCGAACTTCTGCACCAGAGCGCTGCTTGTTGTCGGACCGATGAACTCCCTGTGAAATATTGACCACAAATGCCTTATTCTTCACATACACGGTGTCAATTAAAGTGTTGCTTCCAGTATTCTCCATCAGACTCTTTTGCAGGGTGAATAAATAGTGGAAATCGGCATAAAAGGGGATATAATTGGCCGGGAGAGTTGGCCTGTTCGGCCATAGAGGGATAGAGGGTCCAATTTGCCTGCGCATGCAACTTTGCCTCCACATTTGACTCAGCAGGGAAACATGCGATGAGTACGACTTGTTTTTATTGGAATAAGATTTAACTATCTCATGATGTTATTAAACAATACACCCATACTTACCCAATCGAAAAGCCTGAAATGAACAGTCCCGATACCAGACCGTTCGTCGTAAAGCCGTCTTCCATACCAGCATCACTGCAGAGGAAAATATTACCTGTGTTTACTAACAATTATCGCGATTCGCGGCAAAATTATAGTATGCCTTGTACGCCCAACTTTCAATTGAATATACTGGAAAGGATACCTAACTAAGTCTACTTTATGACAAGAAGACATGCTTACCTGGCCGCATAAAGCATCTCGTTAAAGATGGGAGACACGGCGATGCCACCGCCTAACGCAATTGTTGTAAGTCCGACGATGTTCGTCCAAAGTTTATTTCTGGAAAACATTTTAAAAATCTAAACCGTGCTTGGGTGCTTAAGAGAGTCGTATGCATGACATAGACACGCTAGACGTTTTTACTGTACCTCAAGCGTTGTGGAATGCAAATGGTCAAGCATTTTAAGAACAATCGTCTCTAGATAATAGGCATAAAAATACACTTCATTGGAAACGAAAGAAGCAAGGACGAGATCATAAATAAGATGATATTGTGGCAATCCCCTCATGGAAAAACAAGCCGAGGAAGTCTAAGGAAAAACTATATACTAGTATCAATCATTTTTGTGTTGGATCAAAAGTTTTAACTTTAAACATGTAACTACCAACACAGATGAACTTTCATGATTATATCAATCAGTTAGATATGCAGTCAGATAACATGAAGGAAAGTTCCGTACTTCGGTAAAATGTTGAGGTAGTCTGTCAGGAGCGGGGACGGGCCGATCATCAATGCCGCGGCTGAGAGGATGACCAGCCCGATAATAATCATGAACCGCATCGCTTTCTGTCAAAACACAAACGTCGACATTGACTTTGTACTCCGCTCGATAAAACTAGGAGGCTTCACTTCTGGGTGAAATCAAAATTGTTCTTCGTTCACTGAGTTGATAGTTTTTTTGAGAATTATACTATCATCGTATAAATAAATAATACTATCATGGACTTCAATACCTTTTTATCTGCTATCCAACCCCACAGTGGTGCGAGGATTGCGTAAACAGATGAAAACAACAGGAAGATCAGACCAAGCTGAATGGTGGTCAGATATTTGTACTGTGTGGAGAGACAACATTGAAACTGTTAAGTGCACAAAATTAGCTATTCCTATGAGTAGAAGAACTATATCATGTAACATCGAGCATTTCAAGCAAACTCACGAATATATAAACCCATCCATATACATGTAGAGCATAGAATACCCTATGTCCATAAATTGGGAGATTCACCTTGTCTTGTAGGTAAGGCTGTAGAACTGGATCGAGAAAAGAGATCACCACAGCTATCACCACACATAATCCACCTACGTACAAACAAAGATGTTCATCCAAGGATTATTAGTAAAACTATATAGCAGAGGAAAATGCACGTGGATATTACTATGACATGTAGCTACGCTTAAAAGTCAACTGAAAATCACGGTACATTGTTTGTTATGTACCCACAGGTAAAAATGATGACTGGCAGCTTCAGTAAGGACGACAGAGACCCTGTTCTTCTTTCCCCTTCATTCTCATCTGTCGTAACATACAAAAACAGAAGCAACGTGTGTGACATCACTCAATGTAGATTTCTTTCCCGATGGTAGTGTTTGATTCAGGTAATACCACAAAAAATATAAAGTTTTGTCGCATGCGCTAGCACATGACCATAATCTACATAAAGCTACCGTACGTTGGCACACTTATGCTGAAAGAGGCATTAAAAACTGTGACATATATTTCAGGACACTTGCCCTGTTCAGTTTTTATTCAGGCTTGTCGGATGCAGATTTGAGAGCACACAAACTGTTCCTATACGTACGTGTATAAAAGACTATACTTATACCCGTTCTCCTTACCAGGCTGCGGCGGCACCAGGATCCACAAACACACGCCACACGCCAGCAGCACTCCTCCAACCACCAGGAACGGCAGTTTGAACCCTCCTGCCTGGAGGCAGGACAAAAAGACTATTTTCACCCATGGACCACATCTTCATTCCCCAAGATTAGATCAGTTAGATGTAATCAAATCCTGGATTGGGTGTCTCGTGGACGTTAATATTGTGCCCCAACACGCATTTCATTGCATCATCCAATTAATAATGGTTTAAAATAAATATATGCTCGAAAGGGGGCATGTGCTATAGAAAATATAATAGTTACAATAACTGTAAGAAATGTATGGCGCTATTTAGTAAAACTCACGTCATATAAAAACCCGCCGATTGGTGGACCTGCCATCAAACCGAGACCAGTAAATATCTCCAGAGTTCCCTGCACATAGCGGTAAAGATGTCAACTGTTTAATTCTCCGATCTGTACATATTAGAGCTGTATATGTGCACCTGCTTATAAAATAAAATTCGCAACAAAAACATGTATGTAAATACTTACATAGTCTCTGATGAGCTTTGAAAAAAATTACAGGTAAGTAACACAAATTAGTCTTATGTGTGCACATAGCTTAGCTTTTATACATTTTCAACTTCATTTGTTTGACAATCTCAGTACAGAAAATCACCACATACCATGACTGTGGCCACATTATTAGGAAACGCGTGAGTGAGGATGGCTGTCCCTGCTGTATTTGAGGCCGACACTGCCATGGCGTCAACACCACGGATCGCGAAACAAAGGACTATGAAAATCGTCTCCTCCGTGTACTGTAGGAAACTGGGAAAAGGTGGAAATTGTCAAGATGCAACCCTCCAGACTGCGACCGTTTTGGTCGCATATGCGACCAAAAATTACGAAATGCGACTAAACTTTTTACTCTGGTCGCGCACTGCGCGACCGGCAGAGAATCCGCGGTGCGCCTAAATTATTGGCTATAGCGCTGTTAGAGGCAAAAATTTCTTATTTTTTCCCGTAAGAATGTCATATCAATGCCAGGCAAAATCATGTTCATTTGTCAGAAAACCCATTACAAGTCCGTAGATACCATTATCTCGGCAAATAAACCGGCAAACAGCTTTTTTTCGACGAAAAAACAGGCCCGTCACAACCGGGGCGCCATTTTGTTTTCATCTGGCGTGACCTCTCGGCAGCCCGACTCTCGCGAGACTTGATATCCTTATACCATTAGAGGGGTCAGGTGACGAGATCTCGCCTTCAAGCTTGTGCAGCCGGCGACCTAGCGCGACCGGGAGTTTCCAGAATTGTTTAGGGGATTCTAAACTGACATCTGGCCTAAATTTGGGAGGAAATCAATTAGATAAATATCTTTATCAGCCACAACTTGTGATATTTGACTGTTGGCAAAGTTTGTGTTTGAAAAGAGATCCTCCCTCATGGCCCAGGAGCGTCCAGGACAGGGAAGTTTTGCAATGCGTGACTGATAGGATTTTCTACTAGAACTCCTCTAAGAAAACTTGGGCAGATGTCTGTTGTGCAGACTTTTCAAACTAAGTTGTAGATTGTTCTGATACAGGTGAAGAAATAATTAATATTAGTAGCAAAGTTTCAACTGAAGGTATTAATTTTAGACATTTGTGTAGCATATATTATTAAATGATTATAATTTGTAAATTATA